GTGTGAAACTACTAAACTACCTAGACCGTCAGAGTATCAGTGTATGTGTGAAACTACTAAACTAGCTAGACCGTCAGAGTATCAGTGTATGTGTGAAACTACTAAACTACCTAGACCGTCAGAGTATCAGTGTATGTGTGAAACTACTAAACTACCTAGACCGTCAGAGTATCAGTGTATGTGTGAAACTACTAAACTACCTAGACCGTCAGAGTAGCAGTGTATGTGTGAAACTACTAAACTACCAAGACCGTCAGAGTATCAGTGTATGTGTGAAACTACTAAACTACCTAGACCGTCAGAGTATCAGTGTATGTGTGAAACTACTAAACTACCTAGACCGTCAGAGTATCAGTGTATGTGTGAAACTACTAAACTAGCTAGACCGTCAGAGTATCAGTGTATGCGTGAAACTACTAAACTACCTAGACCGTCAGAGTATCAGTGTATGTGTGAAACTACTAAACTAGCTAGACCGTCAGAGTATCAGTGTATGTGTGAAACTACTAAACTAGCTAGACCGTCAGAGTATCAGTGTATGTGTGAAAAACTACTAAACTAGAGCTAGACCGTCAGAGTATCAGTGTATGTGTGTGAAACTACTAAACTAGCTAGACCGTCAGAGTATCAGTGTATGTGTGAAACTACTAAACTAGCTAGACCGTCAGAGTATCAGTGTATGTGTGAAACTACTAAACTACCTAGACCGTCAGAGTATCAGTGTATGTGTGAAACTACTAAAGTACCTAGACCGTCAGAGTATCAGTGTATGTGTGAAACTACTAAACTACCTAGACCGTCAGAGTATCAGTGTATGTGTGAAACTACTAAACTACCTAGACCGTCAGAGTATCAGTGTATGTGTGAAAGTACTAAACTAGCTAGACCGTCAGAGTATCAGTGTATGTGTGAAACTACTAAACTACCTAGACCGTCAGAGTATCAGTGTATGTGTGAAACTACTAAACTACCTAGACCGTCAGAGTATCAGTGTATGTGTGAAACTACTAAACTAGCTAGACCGTCAGAGTATCAGTGTATGTGTGAAACTACTAAACTAGCTAGACCGTCAGAGTATCAGTGTATGTTTGAAACTACTAAACTAGCTAGACCGCCAGAGTATCAGTGTATGTGTGAAACTACTAAACTAGCTAGACCGTCAGGGTATCAGTGTATGTGTGAAACTACTAAACTAGCTAGACTGCCAGAGTATCAGTGTATGTGTGAAAGTACTAAACTAGCTAGACCGCCAGAGTATCAGTGTATGTGTGAAATCTACTAAACTAGCTAGACCGTCAGAGTATCAGTGTATGTGTGAAACTACTAAACTACCTAGACCGCCAGAGTATCAGTGTATGTGTGAAACTACTAAAGTAGCTAGACCGTCAGAGTATCAGTGTATGTGTGAAACTACTAAACTACCTAGACCGTCAGCGTATCAGTGTATGTGTGAAACTACTAAACTAGCTAGACCGCCAGAGTATCAGTGTATGTGTGAAACTACTAAACTACCTAGACCGTCAGAGTATCAGTGTATGTGTGAAACTACTAAACTAGCTAGACCGTCAGAGTATCAGTGTATGTGTGAAACTACTAAACTACCTAGACTGTCAGAGTATCAGTGTATGTGTGAAACTACTAAACTACCTAGACCTTCAGAGTATCAGTGTATGTGTGAAACTACTAAACTAGCTAGACCGCCAGAGTATCACTGTATGTGTGAAACTACTAAACTAGCTAGACCGTCAGAGTATCAGTGTATGTGTGAAACTACCTAGACCGTCAGAGTATCAGTGTATGTGTGAAACTACTAAACTAGCTAGACCGTCAGAGTATCAGTGTATGTGTGAAACTACTAAACTACCTAGACCGTCAGAGTATCAGTGTATGTGTGAAACTACTAAACTAGCTAGACCGTCAGAGTATCAGTGTATGTGTGAAACTACTAAACTAACCAGACCGTCAGAGTATCAGTGTATGTGTAAGGGTGTGACAGACTGTTCGCCCTGTCTTCCACACAAGGCCTGGTTTAGGGTGCCGATATCGACACTCTGCTCCTCTACCGGCCGCCGCCGATGTTAGCCAGTGACGCTGATGTCATCCGATATGGACAGTCTGCTCCTCTACCTGCCGATGTCATCCGATACGGACATGTCAGTGATACAGATGGTTTGTTTGTATTTAAGTGACCGGGTTAACGTTGCAGCTACTGTGTATACTTGCTTGAGCGTAACAGTAAACCCCGCGCACAGTTCGGCAGTTCAGGGCGGAGCATGCGTGAGAAACACCTGCTTATTTCACAGGTCCGAGCACTGGACAACTCGAATTAATGAAACACCTTTTCTCTTCGCAATTACACTGCAGAACAATGCATTTTATAAACGTTGTCGGTAACAATTAATGTGCAAATATCGTCGTGAGGCCAGAAATATGTCTGACTATCTGAAAAATAACAACATGGAAACAAACACTACCACATATATTGTACATGAAGAATGAGGACTATTTTCTTGGATATACAACTTCTTTATTCTATATAGGCGACCACTTGCTTGTCAACGATATATATATCCATGAAAATAGTCCTCATTCTTCATCTACCCAACATCTAGAATGCCAATCAAACAAGTTATATTGTACATGTCAAACACTACCAGTCATATATTATATGTCAAACACTACCACTTATATAGTAGGTGTCAAACACTAACAGTCATATATGATATGTCAAACACAACCACTTATATGATATATGTCAAACACTACCACTTATATGATATATGTCAAACACTACCACTTATATGATATATGTCAAACACTACCACTTATATGGTACGTCAAACACTACCCCTTATATGATATATGTCAAACACTACCACTTATATGGTATGTCAAGCACAACCCCTTATATGGTATGTCAAACACTAACACTTATATGGTATTTCAAACACTACCACTTATATGATATATGTCAAACACTACCATTTATATAGTAGGTGTCAAACACTACCACTTATATAGTAGGTGTCAAACACTACCCCTTATATAGTATTTCAAACACTACCCCTTATATGGTATGTCAAACACTACCACTTATATGATATATGTCAAACACTACCACATATATAGTAGGTGTCAAACACTACGACTTATATAGTAGGTGTCAAACACTTCCAGTCATATATTATATGTCAAACACTACCCATTATATGGTATTTCAAATACTACTCCTTATATGGTATTTCAAAGACTACCACTAATATGGTATTTTAAACACTACCCCTTAAATGATATATGTCAAACACTACCACTTATATGATATATGTCAAACACTACCACATATATAGTAGGTGTCAAACACTACCACTTATATAGTAGGTGTCAAACACTACCACTTATATAGTAGGTGTCAAACACTACCAGTCATATATTATATGTCAAACACTACCCCTTATATGGTATGTCAAACACTACCACGTATATGGTATGTCAAACACTACCCCTTATATGGTATGTCAAACACTACCACTTATAATGAATCTGTCAAACACTACCACTTATATGTTATATATCAAACACTACCACTTATATGGTATATGTCAAACACTACCACTTATATAATACATATCAAACACTACCACTGATATTGTATACGTCAAACACTACCACTGATATTGTATACGTCAAACACTACCTCTACTAAGACATGGTCACAAGAACAGAAGTAGGTGGACTCTGCAAACAACTCCCTCACAGCAAACAACTCCCTCACAGCCCCTTACAGCAAACAACTCCCTCTCAGCAAACAACTCCCTCACAGCCCCTTACAGCAAACAACTCCCTCACAACCCCTCACAGCAAACAACTCCCTCACAGCAAACAACTCCCTCACAGCCCCTCACAGCAAACAACTCCCTCACAGCCCCTTACAGCAAACAACTCCCTCACAGCCCCTCACAGCAAACAACTCCCTCTCAGCAAACAACTCCCTCACAGCCCCTCACAGCAAACAACTCCCTCACAGCAAACAACTCCCTCACAGCCCCTCACAGCAAACAACTCCCTCACAGCAAACAACAAAAAATGAATGCCTCCATCGCAATCGTTCTCACTCAAAAATGTAACGGCTCATGGTATCCTTAACAGTCTAATTAGTCCTCTGTAAGGCTACCTGAGACACAGGGTGGATGAAGGTGGAAGGGACTTATGACTGAGATCAGAGTTGGATGAAGGTGGAAGGGACTTATTACTGAGGTCAGGGTGGATGAAGGTGGAAGGGACTTATGACTGAGGACAGGGTGCAGGATGAAGGTGGAAAGGACTTATGACTGAGGTCAGGTCGGATAAAGGTGGAAGGGACTTATGACTGAGGTCAGGTCGGATAAAGGTGGAAGGGACTTATGACTGAGGTCAGGATGGATGAAGGTTGAAGGGACTTATGACTGAGGTCAGGATGGATGAAGGTTGAAGGGATTTATGACTGACGTCAGTGTGGATAAAGGTGGAAATGACTTATGACTGAGGTCAGGGTATATCAATGTGGACTGTACATATTACTGAGGTCAGGTCGGATGAAGGTAGACATATCAGGTTATTTTTAAATGTACACCAACGCACTAGTTTTAATATTCTTATGTAGACACTGTGCCTGTTCTTTTCTACATAGTGGCAGATAATAGGAATAGTCTCTTCAAGATCTGTTTTGATATGGCGCTGGATAGTTATCATCTATAGACTGACAATACAGATCTGCCACTCGGTTAGCGTGTGCTGCCTTGTAATCCATGAAATGTGAAGCAAGGGCGTTCTGTATATGTGCATCTGTTGCCGTGATCTGCACTCGGCCACACTGGGGCGGGGTCGGGCCGTGTTCCCAAATCAGGTGTCACAGCGACTGTCAGGTGTGAACATCGCCATCCATGTGAAACTCTATACAGAACAAGTGTTACATCGTAGTGTCAGCAAACAGGTTCGATAGTGCCAGATCTTAATTAAGCTTACTTAATGACTGTTCACGCTTTCTAATTCACGTTACAGCCTTGCATTATATAATGCGTCTATTCTGCGTGACACAGCGTGTCCGACAGTAAGACCACGTCACGCTAGGTGAGTCCCGCTGCTAGGTGAGTCTATACTTATCTGTATGTATTGTGGAAGTTGCGCTTTTCATAATAATGATCCTTGCTCATTTCTATAGCATGACAATCTCTGTTCTGCGGCTGGGGTCGTTGGTTCGAATATCTCGGCTCGACTCAGTTACGTTTGCAGACTAGCCTATCTATGTCTACAAGTAGCTATCCTTTGTGGACCTTTTCCCTAAGGTGTTGCATAATATCACGTGACTCTAAAGCTGATTCCAAATAGTTGCCCACCACTAGGTAAAGTCTGTCAAGTCTTTCCATCTTCAGTGTGGTGAATAAACAGCACATAAGAATGACGATGTACCTGGTTTGGACGCTGCTGTTCCTGCCTGGCGTTCTCGGGGGTAGAGTTGGTGTGGACCTGACCATAGCACCTGGAGCTTCCGGAACCGCTGTCGTAAAAGCTGTCGTTGACAGGATCAGATCCAACTGCATCCTCGGGGACGACCGACTGTTCCTGCGACGTCTGGCCTACGTGGAGACCACTGATGGAACCAACTCAAAGACATACAGATCAGGGTATGACGGTGGCATATGGCAGGTAGGTTCTGATATATTGTCAGTTTCTAGAGGTCTAGGCATTTCTGCCGAACTGTGTATTGTCTCTGTGAAAACGACAGTGCACTCTTTTCTCTCCAAAAGTACTCTTTAGCGCTTCGTTCTTGTGAGAAATTGTATCCGGCATGCCATGTGAAATTCATTCCATCTTCTCCTGCTGAACTATTTGGAAGGCCTCCAACACTTTCCAAACGAAACAAAACACGTGCTCATAACATAGTTGTAATTACTATTTATACAGTTGACTCTGCTTGTAGCCGATATTTCTAATGGATGTTGCCAGGGGTTTAGCTGCAGCAGTGTCCGCAATATCCAGTGTTGCCGAAACTTGTAAAGTGTCTCCACTTTGACGCTGGTTCCCGGTATCTTAGACTGTAATTTAATTACGATAACAGTCAGCCAGCCACCATTGATCATCTGCCAACAACAGCAAACAATGCATTGTAGACATTGAAAGTACTGTTTTATCCATTGTCATGATACAACTGTTCTACGGCTACACGTTGGTCACTGCTATCTCGTAACACATCAACAAAGAAGCACAAAAGAATGAAACCCAAAAAATCCACCTTAGTAAGGTACCGAATGTTCCAAACCTGGTCAAGCTTTTCAAGTAAATATTATCGTAGCAAGCTCTTAGAAATGTAATTTTTGCAGTGTATGCTCATTGCTATGAAATATAGGTTCGGAGTATTGTAATTGTGTCTTTTCTGGAGTATTGTTCCATGACGTGAACTCTATCCTTGTACAGTATTGAGAATGCTTCCTGGATACTGTGAATATACAACAAATAGTGCTGGTTCATAGGTCTCTTCAATGAGCTGAGTTTTCTTGGAAACGTTGACACTTAGATGTTAATTGCTCCGATTGTCAAGATAGAGCAGGATTTGAATCAGTTAAAAACTTAGCATGTAGTTATAGTAGCATTGCTCCTTTACCAAAACTAGATTGATGAAAACAAGTTCCTGGAAACGAAGACGTGTCCCTTGTCGATAGTTGCTGAGTGTAAACAAATCCAATCATCTTTCAACATCGATTGGCGCAGTACATCCTGGACAGATCTGAGAAAGCCTCTCTATTCCGGCTTGGCAGCGGCACTGTTTATAAAGAAGTACAACAGTGGCAGCCCTCCTGGTGACGTCACTAGCCAAGCCTCGTTCTGGGCCTCAAGGCTGAGACCTAGCGGGAGTGAGTCTGGCTTCATTACCAAAGCCAGAACAATGACAGGAACTGGTATGCTATTAAAAGTTAACTTTCTATTAAGTGTATTTTATTTATAAGACGAGTATATGGATGGCATTTAAACTTCTTGTTTAATGTAGAACACACCGTTTCTGGGCTACTTCTTGTTTCTTGTGTAACACAACGTTTCTGGGCTCTTGCTGAAGAATGGGCAAGGGGCAAGAGGTAGCCCAGAAACGTTGTGTTAAACAATAAACAAGAAGTTTAAATGCCTCTCAAGCATCTTTTTATTATTTAATCTGAAGATGGAGATGGTTACGGACAGGACCCGGAAGCTCCTTTATGAGTAATTCTTCTGTCACTAGATTGCAAGACCCAGCTAGACCTTGCATTCATCCTTGACGGGTCAGGAAGCGTATCAACAGCTGACTTTTATAGCACCATCGAGTTCGTGAGAAACGTGACGGAGAAGCTAACCATCTCGAGGAATGAAGTGAAGGTCTCTACTGTGGAATATGGTTCCTCGGTTGGGGACGATATCAAGTTCCGAGACTTTGCAACCAAAAGCAGCCTGGTGTCTGCTATCGGTAGAATCAGAAAGAGCAGCAGTGGTACCAACACTGCTGCAGCTATCCTCCACACTGTCGACGTCCTGTTCAGCTCGGCAGCAGGTGCCCGACCTAACGCCAAGCGGGTGGCCATCCTCCTCACAGACGGCAGATCCAACAGTAAAACAGCAACCATCAGCGCTGCTCAGAAGGCCAAAGCTGCAGGTATTACCATGATATCTGTCGGTATAGGAAACGCTGATGTGTCGGAGCTGAGGGGTGTGGCCACGCAGCCCTACTGCACCCACGTGATCATGCTCAGCAGCTTCAGGGAGATTGACAGTCTGCTGTATCAGCTGAAGGACAGTTCCTGTGGAGGTAGGTGTCAGTTTACAAACATGCTTGGTTATCACGGTGAACATTGTAAACACTGTACAAAAATAGCGGAACACAAACTGTAACTAGTATTTAAACTCCAGCCACAACTGAGTCTAAAGCTGTTCCCATTGCCTTAGTCTAGTCCCATGTTCTAATTATGGAACACGGTTTGTCCCTAATTTAAAAGGGTACTTGAGTTCGTCCATCTGTGTGTCCTACATCTTATGTGATATTGTAGAATGAATTGTCTATCAAGTGCAAACCGTCAGTGTTTAATAGTTCCTCCTTTCCTCAGCTCTGACTGCAGTCAAACAGAACAAGACTATCAACGTACCACTACCTGTGAACAAGACCGTGGAGGACTCGTTTGAATTTAAGGACGACAACCTCACAACACCCATCCCAGGCCAAGATAAAGCTGTGGTACGTACACTTATGGACACTCTCTATGGGCTTGATCAGTATGTATCTGCACGGGTTGTAGAATTGTAAAATCTGATGTCCTCTGATGCAGTATTTCAGGTCTTTGTCCTCCACATCCTAAGTTAAAGAGTCAGATGTGGTCGTTAACCACATAGCATCCAAAGTTTCTCAAGATGCACATATACTGAATAGCAGTGCCATCATCGCTTTAGCTTCTCCGGAACCAGGTGTCTAGTTGAACCGTTCATTACAAACATGGACTAGCCCACAGCTGCCCTATGTTCAGCGTGGTGATGGAGAAACATAGCGGGTTTAAACTCTTGTAGTGCCGGCGATGATCTGTCGATTCAGCTAAGTATCTCTGTTCCATTCCATTTAGCTGTTTTATGATTTACCAAAATGACAATCCTTTAACATACACAGTTTATAAAGGTTTATGGCAACTTCAAAATGTGTGTGTTCATGGGCCACCAGTAAGTCGTTGTGGTTGTTGCTACACAGGTGGGTGAGGTGGTATGTGGCACCCTCGTTATGTACGCCTCATACAACATCCCCCGTCCAGGCCCCGCCTTCTATGAGGTCAAAGACACTGGACGTGATGGGAAACCCGCCATCATCTACTTCAACAAGACGATGCAGGGGAGACAACTGTATATAACCGTCCTTGGCACTCGACTGTCGGTGTCCCTTGCCCAGATGGCTTCGTGTGTCAACGCCAGTTTCAGTGTGCGTGTTTCCCAGCAACCACCAAGTGAGTGCACACTGATACCAGGGTAGAGATGGTTTGTACGGCAGTCAATATGTTTACTTGTACAACGAGTCCGAAATGAATGGTGAGTAAAGTTGGACTTGATCCTGAACCGTAGACTTGCACAAGTCTTTCAGGTAATAATTAGTAGTTTAAATGATAATGCCTACAAAAAGTAACAGACTGCCTTGACTGTCCGCTTATCTACACTTACCTCTGAAAAGGATAGGATTACTTAACATGCATGGGTTTAGCACTCAATACAGCATTGGAGCAAGGCTACCCGAACCGCAGCAGCATCCAAACTTGCCCTTTAAAGATTTTAAACATGGAATAGGATGTTTTGTTGAAGATGGAATTTCTTCTTCCGGAACAGATTGAATGCTGCTTCGTTTCAGGACAATATTTGTGTTTTAACTTGATGTTCATTGTCTGTGTGAACAGAGGCCCGGGTAATCTGTAAGGAAGGCGTGAAGGAAAGGGAGTGCTCCAGGAAGGACTTAGAGGACAACGGATATAACTGCGATGGTTAGTTGATCAATTTATAGTGTTTACATTTTACATCTACACAAATCAGAACTTGAGACAACTGGATTATGTCACACATCTTTCTCTTCATAGATTCATCAGTCAGTTGATGCCTTATTTGTCTGTAGAGCCCGGAAGTAGGTCACGGCACTTCGCGAGACCTTCGTACTTCCGGTGACAAACAACGTTTCATACCTTTTCGAATGGTCTCGTAGTCTCGTGGTTTTCAGTTGACAGTAAGGAACCGATAATCCTCGCAGGAATTTAACAGATGTAATCTTCCCCAAATTTGCCAACTATTACGACTGTCAACAGCTGTGACAGCCAAGCATGGTTGTACACTTGGTCCGGTCTAATAAAGTCATATTTGGTGGTTACCCAATTTGGAACCAGAACTTGTTCTTGAATAAACGCTTGGCACCGGAAATCTGGTGCCGGATGGAAGCTGGGCTCCGTCCCGCATATTTCAATTTGGCGCGCGCAAAGGGAGTCGGGAACCAGCTTTGTGCAGGAAGTAGCGCCTCACGAGACTTTCAGGCCATATTCTAAGATCTCTGTATCTGTCACGTGACACGTTTATAATACCACGTGCCAAATGTAACAATGCTTCCACTCAGCATCATTGTGTTTCAGATACATTTTACAACGTCAGCAACCCTTGTTCCCCCGGTAACGCCTGCGACCACGCCCACCCTTCTGACTCCTCCAAGTTTATTCGTTGCGACCTAAAGGGCAGCATGTATGTGACACAATGTCCCGGCAAAACCCAGTACAACCCTGACACAATCAGCTGTGGGGCTGAACCAGTCGAGGGAGGAATCTCTTGTAATGTTACAAATCCATGCACGCCTGCAAACATTGCTAGACATCGGTTCGACTTCCCCTACCCTCCCAACCCGTCCAGGTACATCCAGTGTGATGCATTCGGGAAGCTGTGGATGAGGGACTGTCCAGGTGGAACTGTCTGGAATGAAGGCAGGAGATCGTGTTCCAGCCAGTCAGGCGTTACGACCACTCTGAACCCGTCAATCCTCAGAACCTCCACTCCCTCCGTCTCCCCTGTCTCCAACAGCTGCAACGGTAACAACAACGGCGCGATGTTCCCCCACACCGACGCAAGCAAATTCATTCTGTGTGACCACGGGGCTGCAGTGGTGATGTCATGCTCGCCTTCGCTCCAGTTTGACGTCAGCATCAACCGCTGCAACCACGGCTAGGCTCCTCACTGACGCAGATTTCATGTTCTGTATGAAATAAAATGTCACCCGCAGCCACAGCTTGTTGTGATGGATCCCTCGATGGCTACTCAAACCCTACCCATGACATAGAAATGTCCCTAACGTCCTACACACGCCCCTACCTACACCCTAACAACATCCGGCCTAACTATTCCTTAGCCACACTCTGCCCACATCCCCTACCCATACCCTACACACACCCTAACAACACCCTATCCTCACCCTACAAACACCCTACCCACACCCTACCCACACCATACCCACACACTACAAACACCCTACGCACACCCTACACAAACCCTGCACACAACCTACAAACACCCTACACACCCTACAAACACCCTACACACACCCTATCCACACCCTGCACACACCCTACACACAACCTACAAACACCATACACACAACCTACAGACACCCTACACACAACCTACAAACACCCTACCAAAAGGCTACACACACCCTACACACACCCGACCCACACCCTACACACACCCGACCCACACCCTACACACACCCAACACACACCCAACCAACACCCTACCCACGCCCTATGAACACCCTACTAACACCCTACTAACACCCTACTAACACCCTACCCACACCCTACCAACACCCTACATATACCGTACCAACACCCTATGAGCACACATACACACACCCTACACACCCTACAAACACCCTACTCACACCCTACTAACACCCTACCCACAACCTATCCAAACCACACTAACATCCTACCAACATCCTACACACACCATACACACACGATACACACACCATCCACACAACCTACACCACCCTATAGACACCCTACTCACACCATACATACACCCTACCCACACCCTACACACACAATACACACACCCTACACAAATCCTACTCAAAACCTACCCATACCCTAACCAGACCCGACTAGCACCCTACCCATACCCTACGTATACCCTACCCACACCGTACACACACACTACCCATACACTACCCATACCCTACCCACACCCTACCCATTCTCTACCCACGCCCTACCCACTCTCTACCCACACCTTACCCACACCCTACCCACTCGCTACCCACACCCTACCCATACCCTACCCACACCCTACCCTCTCTCTACACACTTCCTTCCCACACCTTACCCACACCCTACCCACTCTCTACCCGCACCCTACCCACACCTTACCAATACCCTACCCACACCCTACCAAAACCCTACCAATACCCTACCAACACCTATCCATACCCTGTTTATACTCTACCCATACCCTACCCATACCTTACCTATTCCCAAACCACACCTTACCCACATCCTACGCACACCCTTCCCACAACCTACCCACTCGCTATCCACACCTTACCCAAACCTTACCCACACCCTACCCACTCTCTACCTATGCACTACCCATACCCTACCCACACCCTACCAACACCCTACCCATTCCTAACCAACACCCCACCCATACCCTACCTATACGCTACCCACACCATACACACACCCTACAGACACCCTACACACAACCTACAAACACCCTACCAAAACGCTACACACACCCTACACACACCCTACACACACCCAACACACACCCAACCAACACCCTACCCACACCCTACACACACCCTACTAACACCCTAACAACACCCTACCAACACCCTACATATACCGTACCAACACCAACAGCCTACACACACCCTACAAACACCCTACTCACACCCTACTAACACCCTACCCACAACCTATCCAAACCACTCTAACACCCTACACACACCCTACACATAAGATACACACACCATCCACACACCGTACACACACTCTTTAGACACCCTACTCACACCATACATACACCCTACACACACCCTACACACATAATATACACACCCTACACAAATCCTACACACAACCTACCCAATCCTAACCAGACCCTACCAGCACCCTACCCATACCCTACGTATACCCTACCCACACCTTACCCACACACTAACCATACACTACCCATACCCTACCCAAACCCTACCCACTTCTACCCACACACTTTACCTATTAACCCTACAAACTTCAAGTACCACAATTCCTACCTTTCTACACACTTCCTTCCCACACCTTTACCCACACTTCTACCCACTTTCTACCTGCACCTTACCCACATCCTACCAATACATACCATACCTCTACCAAAACCCTACCAATACTTTCTACCAACACCTATCCATACCCTGCCTATACCCTACCCATACCCTACCCATACCCTACCTATTCCCAAACCACACCTTACCAACATCCTACGCACACCCTTCCCACAACCTACCCACTCGCTATCCACACCTTACCCACACCTTACCCACACCCTACCCACTCTCTACCTATACCCTACCCATACCCTACCCACACCCTATCAACACCCTACCAACACTCTACCCATTCCTAACCAATACCTCACCCATACCTACCTATACGATACCCACACCTTACCCACACCCTACCCATACCCTACCTACACCCTACCCATACTCTACCAATACCCTACCCACACCTTACCCACACCCTACCAATACCCTACCTACACCCTACCCATACCTTACTCTACACCCTGCCTAATTTCTACCTATACCCTACCCACAACTTACTCCACACCCTACCAATAATTTCTACCAACACTCTATCCATACCTCCTGCCTATACCTCCTACCCAGACCCTACTAATACCCTACCTATGCCCTACCAATACCCTACCTATTCCCAAACCACACCCTACCCACATCCTACCAATACCCTACCCACACCCTACCAAAACCCTACCAATACCCTACCAACACCTATCCATACCCTGCCTATACCCTACCCATACCCTACCAATACCCTACCCATACCCTACCCATACCCTACCTATACCCAAACGACACCTTACCCACACCCTACCCACAACCTACCCACTCGCACACTACCCACACCTTACCCACATCTTACCCACAAACTATCCACTCTCTACCTATACTCTACTAATAACCTACCCACACAATACCCACACCCTACGAACACCCTACCCATTCCTTACCAACACCCCACCTATAAACTACCTATACGCTACCCACACCATACCCACACACTACCCGTAGCTTACCCACACCCTATCAATACCCTACCTACTCCCTACCCGTACCCTACCTGTACCCTACCAACACCTTACCTATAACCTACCCACACCTTACCAACACCATACCCATACCCTACCAACACCCTACCTAAAACCTACCCACACCTTACCAATACCCTCTCCATACCCTACCTATACCTACCCACACTCTACCTATACCCTTCCCACACCCCACCCACACCATACCTATACCCTACCCACACCTTACCACACCCTACCCATACCATACCTATACCCTACCCACACCCTACCAATACCCTACCCACACCCTACCCATACCCCACCTACACCCTACCTATACCCTACTCACGCCCTACCTATACCTTTCCCACACCCCACCCGCACCATACCTATACCCTACCCACACTTAACCACACCCTACCCATACCCTGCCTATACCCTACCCACACCTACCTATACCCTACCCACACCTTACCACATCCTACCCATACCCTACCTATAACCTACCCACACCCTACCTATACCCTATCAACACCTTACCCACACCCTACCCATACCCTACCCACACCCTACCCATACCCTACCCACACCCTACCCAGACCCTACCCAGACCCTACCCACACCCTACCTATACTTCTACCCATACCCTACCTATAACTCTACCCACACCCTACCTATAAATTTCTATCAACACCTTACCCACACCTCTACCCATACCCCTACCCATACCCTACCCATACCCTACCCACACCCTACCCATACCCTACCCAGACCCTACTAATACCCTACCTATACCCTACCAATACCTTACCCACTCCCTACCTATACCCTACCCAAACCTTACCCACACCCTACCCATACCTTACCTACACCCTACCTATACCCTACCCACACCCTACCCATACCCTACCTACGCCCTACCCATACTCTACCCACACCCTACCCATACCCTACCTTTACCCTACCTACACCCTACCCATACCCTACCCACACCCTACCAACACCCTACCCATACTCTACCCACACCCTACCCATACCCTACCTTTACCCTACCTACACCCTACCCATACCCTACCCACACCCTACCAACACCCTACCCATACTCTACCCACACCCTACCCATACCCTACCTTTACCCTACCTACACCCTACCCATACCCTACCCACACCTTACCCACACCCTACCCATACTCTACCCACACCCTACCCATACCCTACCTTTACCCTACCCACACCCTACCCATACCCAACCTACACCCTACCAACACCCTACCTACACCTACTCACACCTACCAACATCCTACCTATACCCTACCCACACCTTACCCACACCCTACCATAACTACCTATACCCTACCCACACCTTACCCACATCCTACCCATACCCTACCTATACCCTACCCACACCCTACCTAAACCCTACCCACACCCTACCCATACCCTACCTACACCCTACCTATACCCTACCTACACCCTACCAACGCCCTACCCACTCCTACTCACGCCTACCAATATCCTACCCATACCCTAACCACACCCTACCTACACCCTACCCATTACTCTACCCACACTCTTCCTACACCCTACCCACACTCTACCCACACCCTACCCATACCCTACCTACACCATACCCACACCCTACCTACACCCTACCCATACCCTACCATACTCTACCCATACCCTACCTACACCATACCCATACCCTACCTACACCCTACCCATACCCTACCCAAACTCTACCCATACCCTACCTACACCCTACCCTCTCACATCACTCTCACATTTCTACCAGCTCTTCTACCAAAGTCCCTTATCCATATCCCTATCAACATCTCTACCCACATCTCTACCCACATCCCTAACCACAGTCCTACCCTAAATTGTTCGTACTTCATTGAGAATATACGCCATCCCACTTCACCATA